CCTAATTTTTTTCTTAGTTTTGAAGACAGTTTTGCCAGATATAGAAATCTTGGTTGACAGTTTTGTTTGTTTGTGTTTTCTTTAGCACTTTAAATATACCTACCCATTGTCTTGTGGTCTCCAAAGTTTCTGACAAGGATCTACTGATATTCTTACCCATCACCCCTTACATGTGGAAAGTTGCTTCTCCTTTGTGACTTTCAAGATTCTCTTCTTGGCTTTGGCTTTTAATATTTGATTTAAATGTGCTTCAATGTGGGCATCTTTGAATTTATTCTGCTTGGAGTCTGTTGGGTTTCTTGGATGTTTGTGTACGTATCTTTTATCAAATTTTGGAAGTTTTTCAACATCAATTTTTCAAATGTTCTCTTCCTCTTTCTCTCTCTTCTTCTCAGACTCCCACAATGTATATGTTGGACTATTTAATGGAATTTCCAAAATCACTTAGACTCTATTCACTTTTCTTCAAACATTTTTTTTCATTCTGTACTTCAGAACTTTTTATTGTCCTATTTTTAAGTTCATAATTCTTTCTTCTGCCTGCTTATATCTGCTTTTCCATATCTCTAATAATTTTTTCACTTCAGTTATTGTAATTTTCAGTTCAAGAATTTATTTCTGTTACTTTTTAATCCCTTTATTAATATTTCCATTTACCTGCATTATTTTCTCTTCTTGACTTTATCCTCTCTTGTTTTAGCTCTTGGAGCATCTTCAATACAGTTCTTTTAAAGTCTTTGTCTAGTTAGTCTGCCATATGATCTGTCTCAGAAATAGGCTCTGTTTATTAATTTTGTTTACTTTGAATGGGCCATGTTTCTTTTTATATGATGTGATTTTTTTGTTGTTGAAAACTGGACTTTCCAATCTTATAATGTGGTAAATATGTAGATCCTTCTGGCTCCTTCTTCTTCCTCCAGGTTTGCTAATTTATTTTGTTTTGTTTCTTACTGTTGCGGAGTATTCATGTGCTGGTAATCAGCTTAAGGTATGGATTTAATATCTTCTCAAGTCTTTCCTGAGCCTATACGTTCCTTTGGTATGCATAGTCACTCTCCAAATTCCCCTGTATAGATGGTTTCTTCTGAACATTTCAGTGATTAAACATCTGCCACCACAAAGGGGAAAAGGTAGAAAAATGAAGCAGAGATAATACATTAAATTTTCTGGCAGTCACCTCAGCTAGAAGGGAAGAGGATTGCAAAATGAGGGCAATAATGGCTGCATGCCTCTGTGTCTGCATCTTCACTATCAGAGCAGCAATCAGCAGTCAGGGAACCAACCTTCAGTATTTGGTAGACAGAGAGTCCTTATTGCCCACACTGGCTCCCACAAGCTGCTCTAGGTAACTGTGTATAGTCTATCTGCCACGGGGCCAGGAGTTGGGGAAAGGGTAGCCACTACTGAGCCAAAAGATAAAAGTGATGGAAAGTAACCATGATTTATCTTCCAAGCCTTCTCCTGGAAGTTAGAAGCCTTCAATAGACTCAAGAGTTCCAAAATAACTACATCAAACAGATCCTGTCAGTACAATTGTTGTTTATTTGAAGAGATGTATTTCTGGTGCTTCTTGCTCTGCCATCTTCCCTCTAACTTCACCATGACTACTGACTCATAAAGTCACTTGCAAATTGTATCTTTCTTTAGTTAATTTATTCTTCCACTCTTTTGTAAACCATGTCATAACTTCTGTCTTCTCAAGCCTGGAACTCCTCCTCCCACATCTTTAGTTTCAGCTGATAGTCTTGCTTCTTATACTGACAGAATAGTTTTAATCAAAAGAATACTTCCACATGCTTCCATCACCATATCTACTTACATAGTAGCATTTGGTGTCCCCCAGGTATTTCGTCTTTTTTCCTGTGACTATTAATAAACCCCACCACCTGTACGCAAGATCCCATCTCCTCCATTATTTTCAAAGACATCACTCCAGTATTCCAGGAGCTACTTCCTCTGTCTTCTTCTTCAACACATTTTTTTCTTCCTACTGGAACTTTTCCATTGGCATAAAAGAAACTTTTTTTCTTTTATCACTTAAAAGATGAGAACACATCTCTTAACTATACACTGTCCTCTATCCATTAACCCATATTTCTCATTTTTCATAGCAAAACTTTTTTTAAAAATCTAAATGAACTGTCTGTAATTTTGTTGTCTCATTATTTCAGGAACCCACCTATATCAGAATTTAACTCCCCAGTGAAACTGCTGAAACCAAATGCTTTCACACTGCCTGATCCATTGGCAAATTCTCCACGATTTTGAGAATTGACCAATCAGTTTCATCTAACATAACTGACCATATTATCCTCCTTTAAACACTTTCTCATGTTTTTCTCTATATCTTAAGACTGCTTCTCAAGCTCCTTTGCTACATTCTCCTTATTTCTCCTTCCTGCAAACTTTAGAACAAGGCTTAGTCTTGTACCTCTTCTCTTTTCTCTCTTCTCTCTAAATGCACTTCCTTTAAGAGCTAATCCAGTCTCATGCTTTTTATGCTTATTAATACAATTTTGGTTTCAAATGTGTATTCCCACCATGAATCTAACCTGTGAACTCCAAGCTCACATGTTTCTATCTGCTAGTTAGACACAGGCTACTATAACTCACAACTGCCTACATACCATCTTCATTTGGGGGTTATAGTAGCCTGTGTCTAACTAGCAGATAGCATCCATATGGTAGGTTAAATGGGGAAGTGTAAAATACAGAATTATTAACTATTATAAAAGAACAAAAGTAAAATTTGTAGTATCCTAGGACTGAGGGAGGGCACTCAAGCAAGGAAAAACTTCAAAGGAATTCAAACTTTACTGGTTATGGTTCAGACTACTGGATAACAAGGAAGACCAGTCTGTAGTTGCCAGGAAAGCAATGGGCCACTCTCTCGAGTGCCGGTGTGAAAAGGTAATCATTAGCCAGTGGCTTACAGAGGGAACTGGGGCACAGGCAGAGGAAGAAAGCCCTCAGAGACTGTTGCAACTCTGGTTTCCATGTTAAGGGGACTACAAAACAAAAAGAAAAAAGTTATCACCAGCTAGGCTGAGGCCGCAAGGACACAGAGGGACCAGGTCTTGATCCTAGGGCAAAGGAGGATTCACTGAATGTCTTCACACCCACGCTTCCAGGGCCTAACCTCACAGAAACGGCTGGAAAATCTCCTTGCAATGCCCTCCAGCACTGTCTACTGAGAAATCTTATCACTGTGCTCAGTTTAAAGGATAAAGCAATGCTGAGAAATCTTATCACTGTGCTCAGTTTAAAGGATAAAGCAATGCTATTATTTATCACAAAGCGTGTATTGGAGCTGAGAGGCAATAAATTGATCACTGACACAAATGTCTAACAGGTTAACATGTCAAAAGTGAACTCTTGGTCTCAACCCAAATCTTCTCCTCTTGCAGTCTTCCCCATCTCAGTAAATGGCAACTCCATTCTTCCAGTTTATCAGCACAAAACCTTTGGAACTATTCTGACTCCTCTCTTTTGCTCTTGTGCCACACTCATTATGTTTACAAACAGTATTGGCTCTATCTTCAAATTAAATCTGGAATCAGTATACTTCTCATCGCCTCTACAGCTACCATGCTGGTGGGAACCACCATCAACTCTTCCTGATAATTACAATAGCCTTCTGACTTATGTTTATGTTTTCACTTGGTCCATTAAATGTTGATTTATTCTCTAACACAGCAGTCAAAATGATCCTAATGAAACTAAAGCATAGGTAGATCATGTCTCTTTTCTGTTTAACACCCTACCCATCTCGTACTCTCAGGGGTGAAATGAATTGAAAGTGTTTTCAGAGCCTAGAAAGCTTACTCAGTATGTCACCCTCTCCCATCTGTCTCACGTCCCTTCTGCTTAACACTGTACTCATCTAATGCTAGCCACGTTGGCTTCTTTGCTTTTCTGCAAATACAGCAGGCCCATTCCTACTTTAGGGACTTACATCTCTTTGCTCTGTTTTGAACACTTACCACAGATATCTGCATGGCTTGCTCCTTAACCTCCTTTAGTTTTTTACTCAAACATCACCTTTTCAGCAAGGTATTTTGTGGCTACTCTATCTAAAATGTAATTAGAACCTAGAACAGTTCCAATGATAGGGTAGTTGTCTAATAAATAATGGTTAAATAAATAACAAAATCTTGCTATGAGATGATCTTGTGAATGAAAGTCACATGCCGAGAAAGAGATGGCATGAACATGGGTTCCCGATAGTAGCACAGAGCCACCACACCAGCCCTGCAGTGACTCTCTCCAGATTTCTTTTAAGTAAGAGAACAAAATATTTATTTTATTTAATCCACTCTTACCGAGCAGCCTGATAGCTCTTCCTATAGCTCACTGATTCTCAATCCTTGATTTATGTTAGAATCACCTGTAAAGTTTCAAAAACTAGTAATACTCAGTAGAGTCAGACATTACTATGTAGAAGCCACCTAGCAATTCTACTCTGCAGCCAGGATTAAGATTAATTGCTATAATCTTTTTTGTTAAATGTTTTTGCATTATTATTTCAAAATAAATACAGTCATCCCTTGGTATCTGCAAGGTACTGGTTCCAAGACTGTTCACAAACACCAAAGCTGGTGCATATTCAAGTCCCGCAGTCAGCCCTGCAGAACCTGCCGATATGAAAAGTGGTCCCCTTGGCCCTCCGTATACCCAGGTTTCACATCCTGCTAACACTGTATTTTCAATGTGCACGTTTGATTGTGGGTGGAGAACCAGCCAAAATAGAAGCCCAATTGTATATATCTATTTTTTAAAAATCTGATTATAGGTAGGCCCATGCAGTTCAAACCTATATTGTTCAAAGGTCAGCTGTAGTTCTTGATTTTTGGCCCCAGTTTTTATAAAATGACTCTCGTATCTGCTACTGTGGGGTTATACCACAGAAGTAGAATAATAATAGCAACAATAAATACAATTTACATGTTATTTATACTTTATCGTGTCTTCACATAGCAACCAATTTTATTGAGAGAAATTTGATTGCTTTGTTATTTTGCAGAAGATGTGACCTCTTACTAAGTGAACATATCCTTGGCTAGGTCTCTGTTTTCAAAATGACTTACCAGTGTGCTCAATTCTTTGGTTTGTCCCAAACGTCACAATAACTTGGCATGGTTCAGCCCTTCTTCCTTGAAAGCCAGACAGCGGAATGGAGCTCTTAACTGAAATGAGTAGAGAAAGGAAGTAAGTCCTAGATCAATAACTTGTAGACCCTGACTCGCATAATTCCCAATAAAGTCACTCAAAACCTGAATAGTACAAAAAAACAACTAAACAAACTGAACAAGAAAGATGGATCCTAAGGTTGTAAAATAAGACTTTAAATGCCACTACAGAAGGGAGACTGCACCCTTCCTTAGTGATTTAGGTTTGGGAGTATTTTTTGTTGCAGAGCCAAATCTAGGTCCATTAAATTTTAAAAATAATAAGGCTGTAGACTCGCAGCATTTCTATACTATGATTTTATCTATAACTGAGACGCCAGAGACCCAAATATCTATGCCCTACAATAAAAAAGGAGATAATTTCAAGAGTTTTGTCTCACCTCTGCTTCCTAGCCAGCCAATTTTAGCATTACAAATGGGAACTGTGATGGTTATTATTGAGTGTCAACTTGATTAGATTGAAGGATGCAAAGTATTGTTGTGGGTATGTCTATGAGGGTGATGCCAAAGGAAATTAACATTTGAGTCAGTGGACTGGGAAAGGAGACTCACCCTCAATCCTGGTGGGCACAATATATCTGATCAGCTGCCACTGCAGCCAGAATATAAGCAGACAGAATAAAGTAAAAAAAAGAATAGACTGGTTTATCCTCCCAGCCTATATCTTTCTCTTGTGATGGATGCTTCCTGCCCTTGAACATTGGACTTCAAGTTCTTCAGCTTTGGAACTTGGACTGGCTCCACTGCTCTTCAACTCAGAGATGGCCTATTGTGGGACCTCACCTTCCTTGTGATCGTGTGAATCAATACTCCTTAATAAACTCCCCTTTGCATATACGTGTATCCTATTAATTCTGTCCTTCTAGAGAACCCTGACTAATACAGCTACCCATGTTAAATGATAGGATAGAAACTTCAGGAGCTAAGAACAAAATGGGAAAGGTCATAGCAGAAATCCCTTCTCTGATCCAACTGGAGGATCAATTATGCCATACTTTCCATGCTTAGTAATTATTGTATTATTTTTATTTTTGAGATGCAGTATACCTTAGTGTTTACAAACGTCATAGAAATGTTTTATGTCTCAGCTTTCTGATTAATCAAATGTGAACAATATATCTCTTAAGTCAGACTATTACAGGGATTAAATGAGTTGTCACATAAAATGTTTTTTAAAAGTACCTAATGCCTATTTGCTATTATTATTTATATTGTTAGTAATATAATAATTTGTAGTATCATCATAGAGAAAACTTTATTTAACACAATCTCAAACTCAGTCAGGCAAAATGTAATTGTTATGGAATAAATTGTGTCCCACAAAATTTATATGCTAAAGTTCTAATCTATAGTACCTCAGAGTATGACTGTATATAGAGATAGGGTCTTTAAAAAGATAATTCAGAAAAAATTAGGTCTTATGGGGAGTCCTAATCCAATATGAGGGGTGTACTTATTAAAACATGGAGATTAGGACACAGACACACACAAAGACCATGCGCACACAGTAAAAACACAGGGTGAAGACAAGAAAGGCCTCAAGAGAAATAAATCATCCTACTGATATCTTGACTTGGACTTCTAGCCTCCACATTTTTGAGAAAAGAAATATCTGTTGTTCAACTCGTAAGGTCTATGTACTTTGTTATGGCAGCCCTAACAAACTAATACAATAATGCATTTCTTTATTTTCTATAAATGTGCTTAACACTTACTTCTTGCCTACTTCTTGCCAAGACAGTCAAAAATCTATCTCAGCAATTCTTGGGGACCCTCTACTACCAGGGTAATGAAGTATGTGAAGGTCTCAGGTAGCACAATGACAGAGGGTGGCTCCTGGGTCATTGGTCTTCTGTACAATGTTTACTACCTAGACACTGGAGTCCGTTCCACAGGGTCTGGAATCCACATCCAGCTTCTTTCTAACTGATGCTTTGGTGCACCACACTGAGAATGGAGCAAATTTTGGCAAGCCTGAAACCCACCAATATTCCTCCTGAAATCTTGCTTTCTGCACACAGCACTGATAGTGAGCAGGGTTCCTGGTGTGGTTCTTGAGGAATCCCTACAGTGGTTCCACGTCCTTACACTACCACCTGGAAATACCACAGATCTCCAAGTCTTGGAGTCAGGAAACTGGATGTACGAAAATTCTTTTCACAAGAGTAAAAGTAATCCCTTTTCTTTTATTTCTCTCAGGAGGCATTCTCTCTCCTCTCTTTCAAGGGCATCTAGCACAGTTTTATCAAAGGGTATAGATTGATAGAAGATGAAAATCTAGTTTGGAAGTAAAACTTCAATTCTTTTCAAACTCAAAACGTCCTTGAGACAAAGAAGCACGGAGATTGGTTACCTAATGAATGAAGGATATGAATGAACAATAGAGACATAGCAATTGATCAATTGATACCTTTTACCCTAAAGTGTTACCAACAGTTTTTACACAGATCCTTAAAGCCATATAAATGCAGTGGTTTCTATTTTTTTTAAGTGTTTTCTTCCTCTCTCTTTCTCTTGTCAGCTTATTAACATGCTTATTCATTTGTAAAATGTAACAGCATATCCAAGCAGAAAAGCAAGATGTTTCTACTGGCCAAGCTCCTCTTCTCTGGCCTCTATTCTTTTGATCTAAGAGATAGACAATACGTCAAGAAGGGTTCTTATCTGCAAGCAAAAGAAATCAATCATGACTGAATAAATGGGAGGGGAAAAAAAGAGTTTATTTTAAAAACTAATGGGTAGCTCTCTGCATGGCCAGGAGAGCCGAACCATCTTGCTCAGAATAATGAATCTTGAAACAATGCCCCAATTAAGGCTGCAAAACTGGACTGATGAGGAAACTACTTCTGCCCCCAAAAACTAGAACACTGGGTGTCCTAGCTACAGTTGTCACTGATATATGAGGAACACAATTGTGCTGTAACCACTTCCTTTATCAGAGAATGACTCACTTTCCATGTTTTTTAGGGTGTCACTAACTTCCTACTCAAAAACTCGTATGAGTGCATCCAACATAGAGACCCCAAAGTATTTACCCAAACCCCAGCTTCAAATCAGGTTGAGAAGGTATCGGGCATTTTTAGGTTTTATAGTTTATATAGTTAATGTTTCTATAAAGTTTGCTCTTTCTCCCGCCAAGATTCATCTCACATAGAAAGGGGATGCAAATGCTACTCAGACAAAAAGACTGAAAAAAAACAAATCTCCACAAAAGAAAGACTGACACGAAGCTGAAAGAGAAAGCAAGACAGGAAGTTAGGGTATAATTAGAAATGTCTGTGGTTTCAAATAAAATATCTGATTAGGTATTTTTAAAAAGTAATTTAAAAACTAGAGGCAGTCTTTTTTTAAAATCACAGAATACAAGATCTGAGAGTAAGAACTTGTTGCTTTCATTAGCTCAGGAGATCAGCAATGTTAAGATTAAGTCAAAAGTTTTCTTGTCCTTTTCCTCCTAATTCCAAAATGACTATTTTTGCTTCAAGGAAGGAAAAAGAGAAAGAGGATAAGAAGTGTCAACAGACTTCTCTACACATTTCATGAGCGAGAATCACTGGAACCAGTCCACACAAAATATATCACTGAAGCCACAAGCTAGAGCAATATTCTCCTTATGTGTGAAGTAACATGATCCTACAAAGTTCCTTTAAATGATTCCAATTAAAACTACTTTTAACAGATTTGTTCCTCTTTTGTTGCCAAAAATATAAGCATCCCAACCTTGAATGATAAATTTTATGAGTAAAAATCTTTATATTTTCAAAAATTTAACCACTAATTGTGTATGGACTCATACGCAATAGAAAATATAAGTGAATACACATTATGTTACAAAATTAAAATCATGGAACTCAAGGGATAGTCACCTCGTTTACAACTGCCTTCCCTATTAAAAGATATACTGTAGAATGGATGTATGACCTCATCTGCTGTTTCATTTACAGTATCTCTCCAATCAGACATAGTTCTTAGGCTTGCCAAGAGCAATCCCATTTACTTTAACTGTTATTAGAGTGTTCAATTTTCATGCCTTTTCATCTGTTTTCTTTGCTTCTGGAATTCTTTGAAGGCTTACTTTAGATGGCCTTGCTTGGTAACATCTAAAATACCATTTCTAAGGTCCTGGTGTCTTCCCCCATCATTTGTATAATTGCCACTATTGATGCTAGTTTGATTCTGGCATTCTAGACATTCCCTTATCTCATCTCCATGTTGCTCTTTATTTACATGGTAGTAAACAGAAGTCCACATCATGTGTCTCCATATGAATGGGACATCAGAATTAAACGACACAGAAATGAAAACATTCCTGGGAAAATCACTCAGGATGCTCTGGGTTGGAGTCTATCCAGGCTGTCCTATTTATTATTCAGGTGACTTTGAGCATGTCAATTAATCGCTTGAGTTTCAATTTCTTTGCATGTACCTTGCTTTATATAAATATTCTTGTGAGAAATCTCGTGAAGGTTTGGAATATAGAATCTCTTTGAAGTCTGTAACATTGTATAAAAAGAAAAGGTAGCAAAGACTATATGCTATTGTCTGATGTACTCTTTCATTCTCCTGAAAAGCATTGAGCAAATTCTACTTATCCTTACCACCCCCACTTCCTGCTCCACTCTCCCCTTCAGGCTGGACCCCTGCTACCTGCTTCACCTTGACCTCAACATTCTTATTCAACATGGGAGATAGAGCAGGTAAACAAAAGAAGTTGGATTTTGTTAGATTCTCTCAGGACCAACTACAGAGGTCAATCGGGTTTTAATCACTTTATTCTCTTTGCCAGAATTCCAAGTAGCAGGTACTGGTCTCTATATTAGCTGTGAAGGCCAATGACTTATTTCACAATATTGAAGTCTGTGGCCCATATTGTTGATTTCTCTTATCTGTCCAGTCCTATCTGACACTTAGCTCCTGATCTGGGCCTCTGCTGCAGATTCTACATCCACTCTAGGGGTTAATTATGTTGACTATCAGGATTCTTGATGCTTGGCTTTAGCCTTGCAATTTGTTTCATTGTGCTTCATATTTTCTTGAGAAAGGGACAATAAAGTGTTTAAAGTGAGTCCATAAAGTCACCTATGGTCAGATTAGAGCATTGCTTTCATATCTTTATGACTAATGTTCCATGAAGCTGAAACTAATTGACATGAATTTTATAAAGGCAGGGAAGCCCATAAGCCAGGCCTCGCAGTACACACCCACTTCCTTTTGAAGGATTTCTTTTGGCAGTTAATCCAAACGTGCTCAAAACCTAAAGGAAGATATACAGCATTTACTTGTAGTTTTCTTGTACATCTTTATTTTTTTGCTGTCTCCTTAAGACTCCTTTTTAGATGACGTCTTTTTTGCCTGCAGGACCCCTACTGACAATTTTAGTTTGTCTTTGATTTTTAAAATTTCTTGATATATGCATGAAGCAAAGTGTCTGTTTTTCTGTTTTTTTTTTTTTTTAATCTCCACAGCTTTTGTCTTTCAACGCTTATACTTTGGTAAATTTGGACTCAACTCTTTTTCTAAAATGAATAAAGAACATTTTTCTTATAAAGAACATCACTTTTACATGTACTATTTTTTAAGTGTGTCCCAGCTTTTTCTCTTACCCATGAAGGACTCTGTCCATGAAAGCCTTTGTGGTGTTGGGGACACAGGAGACCAACTGCCCACCAGCAAACATGAGAGCAGCTCAGCACATGCATTCTCTGGGAAGACTTGCCTCCTGAACAACCATTTCCAAAACTGTCCAAGGTCCAGAGCCCTGTAGCAAGATGACAAAAGCACCAAAATCTGAAGTTTTTAAAGGAAGTATTCATTTTTGAAATTAGAAAACAAGCTGTCCCCTCTCCAGTTATCTAAAGAATTGCTGCCATTTGTGGGAAGAAAATAAGTTTCTCTATCCAAACGCTGGAAAGAAAAAAAGTTTCTAACTGAAACATGAGAAATTTCTGTTGGAAGATTTGTCCTCCTAAAAACTTTGTTTTTACATATCATTCTTTCATCAAGGTATTAGTTACTCCCTATTTCCTGTGACTCTATCCACTGATTACTTCAACAAGAATTTTTAAGGTTCTCTTGGGGAAAAACTGTGTGCTATGTGGGATGGGGCAGCTTGTGTGAGAGAGGAGATCTGAGTGTGTGCTGCTGCGTGGAGGGCAAGCTAAAATGCTCGAAGACATTGGAGACAGAAAGCTGGAAGACGCCAGAGAAAGATGAGAGTGTCAGATGAGTGACAGCTCACACTCCCACTTGCTTATACAAATAAAAGTTATGGTACCGGCTCCCATAACTGAGAAAGATGATGCGATGGTACATAATATAAAAAAGGAAGAGCTGCAGTACCAGAGCCTGCAGATAGGAGCGGCAATTCGGAAGTCTTTATCTTTCTGCAAACTCGGGTGTCTGCGTCCCTTTACTGGGCTTACTTTTCCTCTTACTCATCAGGGAAAGTGGCCATCAGACGGGTTTTAGTTCAATACTGCCTCGTACATCCTCACAGAAATTATTTCTCTTGTGTTCATATAAAATAAGCAAACAAAACAAAAGAAGTCTCTGGTCCTAATTACAGTGTTGTCAGATTTAGCAAACAAAAATAAAGGAGATCCAGTTAAAATTTATTTTCAGATAAAGAACAAATAGTACTTAAGTATAAATTGTATCAGTATGAATATATTCCATATATTATTTGAGAAGATTTCAACGGAGCTGAAAATCATATCGTAGACCTCTATTCATGTTTATCTGAAATTTAAAATTAAGTGGGAATCCTATATTTTGTCTGACAATTCAGCATACTTGGGTCTAGCTCCCATCCCAGAGCAAACACTGTGTCCAGGGAGGTGGGGTCACTATGCTAGGTCAAGTCTGAGCGCTATAAATACCCCTGTCCCCATCCAATCCAAATATGAAGGTAAAGTCTGATACCAGAAGAGCAGTAATGAAGGAAAGATACACTGCATGTACAGCCAAAAATAATAGCTATCCAATTCCATAACAGAGATGGTTAAAAGTAGATAAAGAAAAGCCAAGGAAAAATAAGTCAAATTTATTCACCATTTGCCTGAAAAAGAAGATGCCAATTAAAACTGTTTTTCACTGTTGATGATCCACATTATTATGCATTTCCATTGATTACAGGACAAAGTCATGGAAAACCCTCTTCTGATGATTTTAGAAAGCAGAATAATTCCTACATAATTGACACATTGCCATAAAAGACAAGTAGTAGGGGTGGACTAAATTACTATGTTTTGATATTGAGACATTGCCAGGATTGTAGCCAGTCTTATTTTACGATATTCCTAGGATTCAAGAAGCTTTGTTGAGCTTCTCTAAGTGGTGATTATAAAATAATAAGCAAAACAGTATGTTGGCTCTGGCATCAGGCAGGATGACAGAAATGTAGGCTTGTCTGAGTTTGGCAACAGCATACTTAATTACATTGACGATGTGTAGCTGTGTCATTTCTTAGGAACTAATTATTCTTTTAGAAAGAAAATGTCCCTAAGGACGTAGTTTTTGAAATACAACTTTTTGACCAAACACTTTAGAAACAGTGTTTTAGACGATGATGACCAAAAGTTGATATGATGGCTTGAAACTTGAAAACAAGAATAACCATCTTAAATACCTATATTCCTTTACAGAGATAATGTAGGTAGAAATGGCTATGGAATTGCCACAAAGTATTCCCCTTATAAAATTTCAAAGGTGAAATATGATTTCTTAGAGGAAAATCAGGCTTTAAAATTAAAATGTCCTATGTAGAATGAGAAAAGTAATTTTTTCCTAACATCAATTTAAGTAGGAGGAACCAGTGCTGTGGGTAAATAGTGCTTTATCAAAGATCATTTAACTGTAATGAACTAATTTGATCTGACAATGTAATTAGCACAGAAATTGTCAAATACTAATGTATATTTATGTGTGTGAGAGAGAAAGAGGGACAGACACACACACACACACACACACACACACACACACACACACACACACACAAACACAGAGAAAGAGAGAAAGAGAAATACATAGAGAGAGAGAGGATTTACATTGTGAAGGAAGAGCCACACACTGTTTTCACTTTGAAAGACTGAATCATGAAGACTGCTTTGGACATCATGTAGAGAAAGAGACATGGACTATGGCAACTGTACTATTGTCAACCAGCTTGTGACTCTCCCTCTTTCCCTTGCTGGTTTATCTTTCTTTTACTTTTACCCACAAAATTTGGGCATTTCTCCAAGTTCTTTCTCTATACTCCCTCCCTCACATAATGCCTGTAATAGAACTACCCCTCTTTGGGCATACAGCTATAGTGTGGGTTTGAACTCCAGTGCATGACTCTGGAGTCCCAGTCACGTTGTAGTCTATGTGCCAGGCAAATCTGTCAACTTTTATGTGGCAGGCAGTCAGCTACGGATAATCCAAATCTATCTCTACCTCTCTCTTGTCTTATGATCTCTGAACATAAAGTTCTACATGCTTATCCAACTGTTCCTTTTAATTGGAAAATAAATGCCAATTTTATTTATTCTCTAAGAGAAGTTTTTATTTTTTTGTTTTGGATTTTTTTTTTAGAAACCCCCTTTATTTTCTCTCCAAGCACACACACATTTCCTGCCTTTAAGTAATGTATGCTCTGAAAGGAGAAAAAGGCATTGAGATACGAAAGCACATTATAAGACAGAAAACTCTATGTGCCATTTCCTATCATTCATCTTAATGTGAGCAACCATCTCCAGAAGGGGGACAAGCGCCACTGCTTCATCTCTCTCTCTCTCATCTTTCTTCTACTTCTGCCTTTGCAGTCTTGTGCATACCACTGTGGCCTCCTCACATTCCCAGCTCTTCTCTATTTTTTTTTTTTAATTATTCTTTCAGTTCTAGGATACATGTGCAGAACATGCAGGTTTGTTACTAAGTATACACGTGCCATGGGGGTTTGCTGCACCCATCAACCTGTCATCTATATTAGGTATTGCTCCTAATGCTATCCCTTCCCTTGCCCTCCCACACCCCAACAGGCCCCCATGTGTAATGGTCCCCTCCCTGTGCCCATATATATTTTCACTGTCCAGCTCCCACTTATGAGTGAGAACATATGGTGTTTAATTTTCTGTTCCTGTGTTACTTTGCTCAGAATAATGGTTTCCAGCTTCAACCATGTCTCTGCAAAGGACATGAACTCATCCTTTTTTATGGCTGCATAGTATTCCATGGTATATATGTGCCACAATTTCTTTATCCAGTTTAACATTGATAGGCATTTGGGTTGGTTCCAAGTCTTTGCTATTGTGAATAAAGCTACAATAAACATACGTGTGCATGTGTCTTTATAGTAGAATGATTTATAATCCTTTGGTTATAAATCATTTGCTGGGTCAAATGGTATTTCTAGTTCTACATCCTTGAGTAATCTCCACACTGTCTTCAATAATGGTTGAATTAATTTACATTCCCACCAACAGTGTAAAAGTATTCCTATTTCTCTACATCCTCTCTAGCATCTGTTGTTTCCTGACTTTTTAATGATCATCATTCTAAATGGCGTGAGATAGTATCTCATTGTGGTTTTGATTTGCATTTCTCTAATGACCAGTGATGATGAGCATTTTTTTCATATGTTTGTTGACCACATAAATATCTTCTTTTGAAAACTGTTTCTATCCTTCACCTACTTTTTCATGGGATTGCTTTTCTTCTAAATTTGTTTAAATTCCTTGTGGATTCTGGATATTAGCCCTTTGTCAGATGGATAGATTACAAAAATTTTCTCCCATTCTGTAGGTTGCCTGTTCACTTAAACTGAGGATAGTTTCTTTTGCTATGCAAAAGCTCTTAAGTTTAGTTAGCTCCCATTTGTCAATTTTGGCTTTAGTTGCAATTGCTTTTGGTAATTTAGTCATGAAGTCTTTGCCCACGCCTATGTCCTGAATAGTATTGCCTAGGTTTTCTTCTAGGGTTTTTATGGGTTTATGTCTTATACTTAAATCTTTAATCCATCTTAATTTTTGTATAAGGTGTAATGAAGGGGTCCAGTTTCAATTTTCTGCATATGGCTAGCCAGTTTTCCCTACACCGTTTATTAAATAGGGAATCCTTTCCCCATTGCTTACTTTTGCCAGATTCATCAAAGATCACATGGTTGTAGATATGTGGTGTTATTTCTGAGGCCTGTGTTCTGTTCCATTAGTCTATATATCAGTTTTGATACCAGTACCATGTTTTGGTTACTGTAGCCTTTTAGAATAGTTAAAGTC